GTTTACAATGTGGATGCATAAAAAAAAATCTTTATAAAGTTGACCATTATATGCCCAAGAGGATCCGAAATCAAAAGCCTTTTATAAAAAATAGAACTGTCTTAAAGTTGTAATATTGTTTGTTAAAAAAATTTTCCAGACTGGATGATGATCTCTAAAATACATATTTTTATTAAAATAAAATATTCAGGCGGATAAAAATATATTTTCTTCTAAACCTCAAAATTTAGTTTCAGCATTCTTTAAGAAAGGATATAATATACAATACAACGACTGAAACCAAAATACCAAAATAATTGAAAACAAAGATCAAAAATACTGGTACCAAACAGAAACGATTTTCCTAAACAACAAATGGCCAATTTCCCTTCTTAAGTCACTGAAAAATTATGAGATGGACAAACTCATGCCCATCAGACCATTCCTAGGTGCAGGGTAAAATAGATGAACTTTAAACGATTTTGATTGCAAGAAAACTTTTAAATGGTGAGTTATTTTAAAATTTAGGACAAAGCAACATACCATATCAAATATCCAGAATCAGAAGGAGACCATCTTGATCAAAGCAATAGTTTCATCCCGCATCATCAATATAAAATTCGATATGATAGAACAGGGACACATATTCATCTTCTAGAGTGAAAAAAAACCTCATGTAACCTCAGGGAAAAAAAACTTTAAACAAAACTCTCTGAACATACTCAGTCTTTTTATTATAAGACATGTAAAAATTTCCACGATTTTTTTTTACACATAAAAAATCAAATCTGGCTTGCTTTGTGACGCATTCAAAAGGAGAGAAAAGAATGTCTTTTTAAATGAGAATGACTCTGAGTTCCTAGAAGGATGTAATGTTGTCTTTGAACAAAAAAAAAAAACTTCAAAAAATAATGTTTTGAAGCGTGAATCTTCATAAATCCTGAATGTAAACAATTCTAGTTTCTATTCAATTTGATCAATCGCAGTATTGGAAAATGAAGATGTGGTGAACATAAAGAAGTTAATTCAAAGATGGAAGAGGCTATGACTTACAAGAATATCAAAGAGATTGTTCCCAAATGTACAGGTCGCAAGGACTGAAGAACTTTATCTATGTAAAATTGTGGATACTTAGTTTGTTGATGTTTTTTTTTTTTTTTGGGTAATAGCAAGGATTTTTTTTTTTTCATTGGGAATATCAAAGTCCACATACAATATTTAGGTTCTTTGGGATTTCGATTTTGTGAAATTTAATAGCCATAAAAATCAAATAAAATAAACAATAAATAATTTACAACAATAATAATAAATTCCGTCATGTGATATTCTTTTGACAATTTGATGTTAAACGTATCCATCTTTGAAAGCTATGCATTGATCTTTGTATTGTATAATCAAGGATTTATCCTTAATTTTAAGGATCAGTGTATCCATTAAAATAAATTAAAAATTATTAAATCCTCTCAAATATTATTGTTCTGAGATTAGTATTTTTTTAAACAATCTATTATCATGAGATAAACTTCTTTTGTCCGGTCCTTACCTTCCACTTTTTAATATAAAACCCAAACACGACATAGTTATATTGGATCTGCACTTAAATTTGCAATATCTACGAACAGGAAAAAAAAAAGTATGAACACCACCACCAGATCCGGTTAATTAATATATTACCTTTTAAAATTCTTAAGAAAAAACACAGATAAATCTGACAAAATTTCTCCAAAATCATCTAACAATTTACATTGTTATTAGAAAACACAAAATATTTGAATATATATTTTATTTGTTTTTTGTCATTTGTTGGAAAATGTATATTTTTATCCCAAAAATTTACAAAACATATTTTTTCTTGTTCTTTTTTCATTTTAAAATTATGTAGCAATTTATTATCAGGTTAATCCCTGTTGTTGTCAAAAATAATAAATTGGTTGAAAAAAATTCTATTTTATAATTTTGCATGAGTTTTGTAAAGTAAAAATTTAAAAAATAATTATTTATCCGACAGTCATATGTTCTAAAAAGTATAACCCAATTTAAAAAAAAAAAAAAAAAAAAGAATCTATGTTAAATATATTTTCTTTTTTTTTTGTGAAAAAAATTTTAATTTGCAGCTGACATTTTTAATTGCATCTTGGGAAAAACATAAGCCCAGTCCAGAAAAAAAAAGCTTTAGTTCCACCACAAAGGAATCAAAGGAAATAGAATAATTTAATAATAATTTATTAATAATAATAAATTAATAATGTCATAAAAATAATAAATTTTTTGTCTTCATTGATAATATTTTTAATATTCTTCCTTTTTTTTTGCCATTTCCTTTGAAAAATGCTGAAATCAAAAAAAAATACTGTAATATTTGAAGAGGAGTTTTGCTCTCTTTGCTAAAAATATTGTTCTGCCATCCAATTCACAATTTTCATGCTTATCAACGATACCTTTTAATTCTGTTAAATCTTCTTGTTCATTATTACATAAAATTCAAGTTTTCCCATGCCTTCTTTCATTATGTCCGATGGACATTCTTTTATTCATGCACTTGGAATTTTCCAGATTTTTTTATAAAAATCATTGAATATCACATATGCCATTTCAGTCTTCTCTTTGTAAAAATCCCTTCAGGACGTTGCTGATTATGATAAATTTTGCTAGAAAAAAATCCTAAAAACATCAATTCAAAAAATAAAATTTTGTGTTGTTTTTTTTGTCCGCTCCTAAAACACTTCCGGATATTTAAACCTCACCGCCATTCATTTTGAAATATTTGTGGACATATTTAAATTTTTTTTTTGTCTTAGAAAACGAAAATCTTTTTATCTTGTTACACATTGGTGTTTAATCCAAATTTTTTATCATTTTATTGTCTATTATCTATATATATATTTTTCTAAATGTTTCTGTCATAATAACAGTTCATTTTGTATTGTATATTAAGAATCCTGCTGTTTATAAAGTCGGGATAAAAAGAAGAGAGGAATTCATATTTCTCATTCCTTTTTACAGGTTTTAAATTTAATTTTTTTTACTTAAATTTACCTACTTCATCTTTGTTTTATTTATTTTTTAAACCGACTAGTCTCAGGATAATGATGCATCATGGCTCTTAAATGATCATATATTATATAATTTTCTTAGTATTAAAAAAAAATTGTGATTTTTTAATTCTCCGAATATTCTGCTATAAAATTGCTTTACAGACCATTATATATATATTTCCTATATATATATATATATATATATATATATATATATATATATATTTATATATATAATATATAATCCTTTCATTAAAAAAAACTACACTCATCTTTTTTCCTTGTCGTTTTCTCTTTGTTTGCATCAAACCAAAAAGAACAAATTGTAAAAAGGTATATGAAAAAAACAAATAAATCAATTAAGAATCAGTCAAAAATAATCGTTGTCTTTTAAAATTTCTTCATCCCAAAAAAAACTTCCAACCGAACTGTACAAAGAACAGATAAATAATGTAACTCAATCACGGTTTTCTTCGTTATTAGAAAATTAGAATGAATATTGAAAAATGGATTTTTTAATTAATCCTTTTCAATCAAACCTTGGTTCAGTTTTTGTTGGCTCTTAATTTTTCTCATGAACACTTTCCATATTTAAATATATATATATATATATATATATATAATATATATATATATAAATTTCATTGTGTACGTTTGTGTAAAAATGAAATCCCCTTTTGTGCAAATGTCAAAAGTGTCACACTTTTTTTCAATTCAACATAACAGTTTTTTTCTGTAGAAAAACTATATACGCTCCTTCTTTAGGTTTCGAGCAAAATTTTTAAAAGTAAACTTTCTGTGTACTGATTAACAGCACTGTGTCAACTTCATATCTTATGTTTTGGATTGTAATGGCATTACCTTTTATGGTAATATATAATGGAAAGGAATTATTTCTACTGTATATATTGAATATAGACAATTGTGAGATAGTTATATCCTGTCTTGTATAAATTTTCTATTTTTTTGATTTTTAACAAATGTCATTTTGTGTACATATAAATATATTTACTCATATATATATATATATATATTATATAAATTCATATAAACAAATTATATAAGAACATCATTTCTGAAAAAAATTGTCCTTTTTCCTATTAAGCTTGAACAGTTCTATCTTAGAAATGATTAAAGATATCTTAAAAATTCATAGGTTTTTTTAACCATTTTATTGGACTCTACTTTGAGCAATAATAAAAATTTTTAATTACTCTCAAAACTTAACAAAAGAATCGTGATGAAATCGATCATAAAAACCAAAAAATTAATGTTCATCATTAATTAATCATAGCTAAAAACTGTTCATAGCAGGTATGAATATTGAAATAAATATATATAATATATATATATATATATATTCCAGGATCATTTTTATAACTTATTCAAGATGATCTTTATTAAACCTCTCTATATTCTTCTAATATTTCTGTCCTGGATCATTTGAAGTCGCCCTCATACTTTGTTTTTCAAAATTTTCATTTTTTAAGTTTTTTTTCACTTTGCATCTTTGGAAATCATTAAAGAAATCCTTCTCAATTCCAAACATCTTATGGATTGAGTTGGAATCTTTTTGAATTAATCTTTTTTAGCTCTAAGTTGAAATGATGATTCCTCTTCCTGTTGTGACCTCCTGATCCAGTTTTCCTCTCTACTGTTCCCTCTTTTTAAAATTTATTCACCGTTCTCTTGATGGTTCTTGAATGGACTTTGAAGATGGAAGCCAGAGTATGAATGTTGGTACCATTACTGAAGGCCTGAATGATCTTTTTCCTCTCACCATTGCTCAGTTGAGAAGATAGTGGGTCTGACACAAAACGATTTTAACCTGTTCTCTTTCTAGCTGAATAACTCAAAGGGTTTTTTCAGTGATTCTTACGACAAATGGTGTCAAGATGGCTAAACGTCTTATCTGAAAACCTGGAAAAAAAAACTCAATTAGTTTAGTGTTTTTTTTTAGATATTAAACATTTTTAAGGGATGGAC